TAATCCCTCCTCTTGCTACTGCATGTACACCCCTACATCATGCCCCTCCCATTGCTGTACTGCACTATCCCTTCCTGTGATGTTATGTCATTACCTGTAATCAGGAGGCTTGCACGCCCCAAGTACATATAAGCCTTGGTTAGAATTAGAAATAAACCGCCCTCCCTCTCTCTTTTCATTTCCCACCCCCACGTGAACCAAGAGGGGCTGAGGTGAGCATGCTATCTTGAAATGTGTCTGACTCCTTTACTTTCTCTCCTATCTTCTATGACTTTACTATGATCGTTATACAGTTGTGCCTACAAACCCTGTGATATTGTCAGGGGCTGCCCTGACAGGCAACAAATATACAAATGTGCTTGACACAATGGATGGATGTGTGGATTGTGATAAGAGTTGTATGAGCCGCCAATAAAATGATTTAAAAAAAAAAAAAGTGTTCAAGAGATAGCAACTGTTGTGGTGCCCAAACACTTTCAAGAGAAAATGCACTGTGAGATGACATGAAACATAAAGAGCCTTCTAGACCAGCACGGACAGTACCCTGTATGGATGAGCCCGAGACAGGAGAAAAAAGCTGAAGGAAAAAGTGGGGAAACACCAAAGCAAAGTGGTGCAGGCGGTGACAGGTTTAGGCTGGTAGACGATGAACAACTTGGATGGAGCAAGGGGACAAATGTTTGCTTAAACTATGCCGTGATTTCCGCTTCCACCAGATGAAGACATTTATTGTACTCTACCTTGGTCTCTTTCTTTGATTCGAACGGCATATAGCTCAAGTTTGTTTTGAGAACATGAATAAATATTTTGGGGGGGAAACAAAAAAGTTTCACAATGATTCAGGTTTAAAACATGTGGTGGGAGATTATATTCATTCCATCAACTTCTACTGAACAATGATTCCATCCTGGATACACAGGTCCCTGTGCTAACATACTAGGGATAAAACAGTGAATAAAATCAAATACAGTTCTGCTCCTAAGGAGCTTAGCATATCACATGTGCATATTGTGAGTAGTGTATTTTTCTGGATGCCATCTTTATGTGATAGCAAATGTGGTACTAAATAGGCAAAGGACTTTCCTCTTTTAAGCCTGTAATGATTTGCATCAACATCAGGCATATCTAACACTTTTCCCTTTATTCAAATGTGAAAAAGCATGTGCGGTAGTTACATAATTGTTGTCAATCTGACCTGCAGCTCTGTTGTTCCCCCCAACCCTGTTACCCTGCCAACCTGATAAGGTGTAATGGCTAGAATATCCTTTTCCTTGAGCCAGCCCCTATTTTGAACTGTAAAGTTTTGAATTTCTTTGTTCTGGATCGAGCGGTTTCCGGGTGCTAGCCTACTCTTGGTTCAGTTGTTTAATAAAGGCTTTAATTATTAATATAGTGGTGTAGTTGAGCTCACCCGTTGACAACTGTGGTTAAAGCATTGGTAGGTAACCAAAGAGTCAGCAGTTTGAACCCATCAGCCACTCTGTAGGATAAAGCAGCAGCAGTCTGCTTCCATAAAGGTTGGAGACCCAGTGGGCCAGTTACATGGAATGAGAATTTACTTAGTGACACTGGATTTTTTAATTCATTAGCTAAGAGGCCCAGATGAGGGCAGTTGCTAGGAACCCAGAGGTTGATGGTTCAAACCCAGCTGGCACTGTTTTTCCATGTAGATTATTACACAGCATAGGAAACTAGGAGGTAGCTCTACTCTGTCACATAGGGTCACTATGAAGACAGGAAGTTGAAAAGCAGGAAGACCTCAATGACTGGGCTGACGCTGAGGCTGCAGCATGAACTTTAAGGATAGTGCAGGAAGGGTTCTGAGCACACAGGCCTGCGATGAGTGGAATTACTTGGTGTGACTCTTCTATCCATGTTGTCGTAACTTCCACCACACGATTAGATGGGGCTGTGCAAACGGGGTGTGAAACACTAATAGCGGGAGTGATCAGTTTTGCCATAAGTGAACCAACTTCGAAGCAGGAAGAGAGTAGCCTGCAGCCATCAAAACAGCAGCAGCAGAGGCACCAGAGCCTGCAACACCAAGACCATGCGGCAGAGCAGAGAAGCACTAGGACTGCGAGGCAGAGTGGCAGGCTTTGGGGTCCACATGTTCTTAAGAACAAGAGAGAGGGAGGGAAGGAGGAAGGGAGGGAGAGGGGGAGGGAGGGGTGGGGGAAGAGGAAGAGAGAGAGAGAGAGAGAGAGCGAGCGAGAGCGAGAGAGAGGCCTGCCAGTATGGTTGAGAAGCAGTGTTGCAGACAAAACAAGTGTATCATGAACATTTTATAACTGATTAGCTTCCCCAATAAATCCTGCAATTGTGAGCATTGTCTATGAGTTCTGTGTGGCCACTGCAAAGAATGATCAAACCCAGCAGAGTAGAGAGGGCTACAGGCGAGGGTTGGGGTAAGAATAAAACTGCTGACTCATAGCGATCCCCTGGGGTTTCTGAGACTGTAACTGTTTACGGGAGTAGAAAGCTCAGTCTTTCTCCATCAGAGCTATTGGTGGGGGGTTCCACCAGCCAGCCAATCGCCCTTGGACTGGTGTAGAGCTAGATTTATGTAGCCATTGGTCAGACTTGGATCCCAAGACATTTCTTCAGACACCTAGCAGCACAGGTCAGGTGACCTGCTTCCGAAAGTCCACATTCTTGAAAGCCCTATGGAATAGCTCTGCTTTGCCTGCATGGGATTGCCACGAATTGCAATCAATTTAGCAACCAACAATTACCATCTTTGTGACCCTTGGAGTTACTTAGTATGCTGAGCCTAGATTAATGTGTAAATTGGCAATCATCTCCTCCTACAGCCATGATATCTGAAGGCCCCTTCCTAGTTCTCCTGTAGTAACTCTTGGAAAAGCTTAAACAGCCTTGACAAGAGTGAAGCCATTTTGAGCTGACAGAAGCCATTATGAACTATAAATGAACTAGCTATGAACTAGCTGATATTAGGGAGGTAGGCTGTGCTGACAAGTGCAACGGACTGTACTGAAGGAAATATATGTTCAAAAGGCTTGGAAGAACAACTAGAGCGATTATTATTCAACTAAGAGCAGTTATTGTTTGACTAAAATGGTTAACCGCTATATCCTGCTTCTGTACTCTGCTTGCTTGCACACCTGCACATTGCAAAAATATAAAAACCTTTGGAAAAGTGAACGAGGCACTGCTCAGTCTCCTCTCAAGAGGGCTGACAGTCCGTGCGCAGGTAATAAAACTTTTTCTTTTGAACTTGTCGGTGGTCTGGGTTGTTTTCTTTCTGGGAACGGGGAGTAGGCTACAATACTCAGCCACGTACAGAATGAGAAATACCTATCTTCCTTCAACGAAATTTGTTCAGCACTTAATGTGTCAAGCTGTGTCCTCAAAACTCAGTCTGACACAAGTCGCACATGTGAGAATGAGAGCCAGGGCCTCCTCTGATTTTTCTAAGCTCGGCCCTCGTTCCTCCCCAAGGATAAATCGACCTTAGGCTCCGCCCCAGGGGCCCCTCCTCCACACCCACTACCCCTTCCAATGCCCTGCCCAGGTCCAGCTCCTGAGTTCAGGATCCCGCCCAAATGTTTACTCTCAAGCACTGGCTCCTCAGGCATCACCTTTCAGGTACCAGCCCAAGGACACGCCCCCTAAGGTGGTCACCTTAGTTTGGCGGTTCTCAACCGGGGGGTCGAACGACCCTTTCACAGGGGTCGCCTAAGACCATCTGTATTAGTCTAGGTACTTTGGAGAAACAAATCCACAGCAACTCATGTATAAGAGAGAGTTTTATGCAAAGAAAATGTGCATCA